AAAAAATAATAATAATAATAATAAAATAAAATAAAAATACAAAAAAAAAAAAAAAGAATAGTCACACACAAGGAAATAAAACCACAACAATGACTTTGGGGCACTGGCACAGGTGTACTACAACTCTTCCAACTTTGATTCTAGTGACGTAGTGCGACTTGAAAAACCTGAGTTAGAAGAACAAAGAATCAAGCTTATTGTGAGGATCAATAGTGATAAAAGCCAGCTGAAATCTATTGAAGATAAAATCCTGAAACTGCTCTTTACATCTGAAGGAAATATTCTGGACAATGAAGAACTCATTGATACACTCCAGGACTCAAAGGCAAGTGAAATACTTTAAAAATTTATAGAACATGTGTTACTTCAAGCCATGATGGTAGAGACCTGTCCCAGCATTCAAGAGACTGAGGCAGATGGATCAAAATTTCAAGGCCAGCCTGGGCTATACATGGGTTACATAAGGAGGCTCTGTCCCAGAACAACAATAAAAAGTGTGTTACTTCAAAAGTCAGAGCTTTGGCCTTCAAGGGTTCCACAGGGGTTTCAAAGCAATACTGGGCCATTTGTACAAAACCAGACACACACACACACACACACACACACACACACACACACACACACACACAGATGTTCCAGGCTTCAGGGCTCCTCATCAACCAAAGAAGATGACCTCTGCTCTTCTTGTCTCTTCTGCATTTTAAAAATAAAGAACTGAAGAACTCAGGCAATACACAAGTGGAAAGTTATATCACTTCCTCTGGGAAGCCTGCCTGGTCTTCCCAGCTGGAATTCATCTCCTCTTTTTTCTTGCAACTTAGACAGTTCCTTATCCAAACCTCCCTAACAGCCCTGTCACTGCTTACCTGAAGTCACAGTGAGAGAGGCCTGTGTCTTTCCCCTTCGTTAGGTATGTGAGTTCTACGAAATGGAAATCTGTGAATAGGTCATTCTGGTATTCGTTGTCCAAATGATGAACATGGGTGATCACACAACACTTGTCTAACAGAACCCTACTGATAATATGATGAAGTTTTATATTAAATATATGATCTCATAGTAACTTATTTCATAAGTTTAAACCATTGTTTAACAAGTATATACAAGGAGAAAAAGCCTGTAAAGTGAGCCTTTGACTTGACCACACAAAGGGCACATGTTTTGTTCTTTAGTTGGTGTCAAAAATTATTTACTGGCCAGGCATGGTGGTATACACCTTTAAGTCTAGCACTTGGGAGGCAGAGGCAGGAGGGTCTCTGTGAGTTCAAGGCCAGCCTGGTCTACATAGAGAGTTCCAGGCCAGCTGGGGCTACAGGGAGACCCTGTCTCAAAAAGAAAAAAAAAATATTTACTGGTCTAAGGATGTAGCTCAGTGGTAAAGCATTTACCTAGAATGTTCAAGGAACCCCAAGCCATCTTCATGACTTCTTACACTGTCCATTTTCCTTCCCTCTTTCCTAACTCTGTAAGGAACCAGGATCAACTGAGTTGGAAGGTCACTGAATCCCTGAGACTCAGTCACTGTGTCTGGTGCCCCCCTTATCACAGTCACTGATTCATTCCATCCTTATTTCTTTCCTAGACCAGACTGAATATGTTCCCAAATCCCCTCTACTTTTTGGAAGCAGATACCTAAGAACTTTTCGTATGTTTATTCAGATCACAACCGGAGCGATTAAAAGCAGGCTGAAGGAAGCAGAGTCCACAGAGCTGATGATCAATGTGGCCCGGGAGAAGTACCGCCCAGTGGCCACCCAGGGGTCCGTGATGTACTTCGTCATTGCCAGCCTCTCAGAAATCGATCCTATGTATCAGTATTCGCTGAAGTATTTTAAACAGGTGTGTACTTTTTGCTGTGACTTCCTATTGAATTGTTTTAGTCTTTGACAAGCAATGAGTCAAGTCTGGGGTTAAAACACTTCCAGACTTGGGGTGTAGAGACGTGATTGAAGAGCAGCCCCACCCACCAGATTTCCTAAAACGTCCAGCGCCCGGTGTGTGTAGAGGACTGTAGAAGAAGAGAGAGCACGGCTTGGCAAGGCTCCATTTCTCTGTTTCCTCAACTGACTTGCCTAAGAATCTGTTTAGGGGCTGAGATGATGGCACAAAAGTTAAAGCGCTTCCCAGGCAAGCGTGAAGACTGGAACAAGTGCTGGGTGTGCAGGTCACCTGCTTGTAATTCTAGCCTCAGAAGACAGTAACAGGGAACCCAGAGCAAGCTGTTCTAGCAAGACTAGACATATCGGCAAGCTCTGGTTTTGATTCAGAGAGTCTGCCTCAGTAAATAAGATGAAGAGCAGGGCTAGAGAAATGACTCAGCAGTTCAGAGCACTGACTGCTCCTACAGAGGACCTGGGTTCGATTCCCAGCACCCACATGGCAACTAACAATCATCTGTAACTCCAGTTCCAAGGGATCCGACGCCTTCATCTGACCTCCACAGGCATTTGTCTCCCGAGTTCTCTGTGTCTCTTGAGCTATCAGGCAAACCATATAATATATCTTTATGTAGATTTATTATTACCATGGGGGGAGAAAGGGGAGTAACTTACAAAGAAATGAACACCCAGTGCCTAGCTCTGCGCCGCCCAGCTCTGCGCTCAGAGCCCACCATTCCAGCTCGCTCCCACAGCCCGCCCATGGTCACGGCTAGCTTTCGCCCATGCCTCGGTGGCCAGCAGTCTCACCCCAGGTCCCTAAGTGTCAGGCCATTCTGTTCTTGCGCATGCCCAGCCTCTGTGCCCCCTTTGCATTCACGACTCCAGTTCAAGATGGTGCCACAAGTCTCTTCTTCTGCGGCTAACTCTCCACAGTCAATTCTCTGCAGCAGGCCCCGCCTCTTGGAGGAAACAGGCAGCTTGGGACACAGCATTGCACAACACGGGTGCACTTACACACATGCAAGCTATACACTCATACACATAAAATAAAAATAAAATATTTTTTAAAAAGATGGAAAAGCAATTGAAGAGGAAGATGATTCCCAACAATCAATCTCAGGTCTCCTTATGCACACACACACGTGTGCACACCCATACATGTGCCCACACACATGCAAAAACATGTATACACAACATAATATTCACACACATGAAAAATGAAAAAAGGGGGGCAAAATCTCTTCGTACTCTGTGCTGTGTCTTTATAGTCTTCCCTGGTCTTGTTTCCTTTCTCTTGGTGGTGCAGCACCAACCTTAACCAAACTGGCTCCTGTGTCTCCTCCCATCACCACCACCATTACCACCAAGAATGTTTTACACACCAAGCTGCTCCTTCCTCCACTGGCTTTGATTTAGAAAACTCTACTTTGCCCCTTTTCTGATTTACTATCTTACTGTGAGACCTTCCTGCTTTATTTCAGTCTCTCTGTCTGACCTCATATTCAAAGTTGGATCTTACCAGATCTCTCCTAAGTAAGATTTCAGCCCTCATCTTCATAGCCACATTCAGTATCTATCAAAAGCAAATTCCAAGTCACAAAGCTTTGGCAAGCACTGTTGGTTTAGCTGAGGGCTTCCAGGGAAACAGAAAGCTTGCAGTGCTCTTTGGAAAACAGAACTTAACAAATGTTCCCAGTGGGCCTGTTTGCCCCTAGTCACTCCAAGCTGCCAGAAGTCTCTTCCTTATAGCCCACAAGAAATAAATATGAAGAAATACATGTCTACACACACCTCACTGGCCCAATCTTCCACCTCCAGTTCCTCCTGGCATGGTAAAGAGCTAAATAGCATGAGGGGGAATATGCTTAGCATATAAGTATATACATGTACAAAAGCTTGGAATATATTATAGGTAAATACATATTACTGTGTATATTTAAGGTATACAACATGTTCCTGAATTTATGTAGGTAACAAAAAGGTTATAATAGGAATGCAAATTAACATATCCTCTCACATGTTTACCAATATTTTTTGTTTTTATAGCTGTGCTGGATAGTTTTAGTGTCAACTTGACACACCTGGGTTGAAGGAGTCTCAATTGAGGAATTTCCTTCATTGGACTGGCCTATGGCCATGTCTGTGGGGCATCTTCTTGATTATTGAGTGACGTGGGAGGGCCCAGCCCACTGTGGGTGGTGCTACCCCTGGGCAGGTGGGCCTGTGTTGTATAAGAAAGCAGACTGAGCAGGGGCCAGAGGAGCAAGTCAATAAGCAGCGTTCCTTCATGGCCTGTGCTTCAACTTCTATCTCCAGGTCCCTGCCCCAAGTAACTGAGCAGGGGCCAGAGGAGCAAGTCAATAAGCAGCATTCCTTCATGGCCTGTGCTTCAACTTCTATCTCCAGGTCCCTGCCCCAAGTTCCTACCTTGGGCTCCCAGATGAACTGTGACCCAGGAGATGTAAGACAAATAAACCCTTTCCTCCCCAAGTTGGTAGTGTCCAAAGTGTTTTGTCATAGCAATGGAAAGACAAACTAGAATAGCAAAAACAGTTAAAAATCTACTCATTTGGCCAGGCATGGTGACGCACATCTTTAATCCCAGCACTCAGGAGGTAGAGACAGGTGGGTCTCTGAGATCAAAGCCAGGCTGGTCTACATAGCAAGTTCTAGGCCAGCTGGGGCTCCAAGGAGACCCTTCTCAAACAAACAACAAAACAAACAAACAAACAAAAAACCAAATCTAGTCATGTAAACAGGGATCCACTGTGCAATATTCTCTATAGTCTTGAGGTTGACCTTTGATTATTAGACTGATAGGTGGGTCATCCCACATATCTCCTAATCTGTATCCTCCACCCTATCTCCACTTGCCACCCTCTGCTGACTCTCACCACACAGATCATTCTGTTTTCTTTGCAGAACAGTTTAGCTTATTCTCACTTTTCTAATCCTCTGTGTTCATACCGTGACACTATACAGCAAAACCCTCCCATCTATATCACTCACAGTAGAAAACAGTGGCAAACTGTAAATATATCCTTGTAGCACACCAACTAACTCAGTTCATTCACGTGTCCTAGACTCTCTGTTTAGTGTGCCCTCACTGCTGGGCTTAATGCTACTTTCTGCACCAAAGCCTCCACACACCTCTGCAAACTGACCCAGCTGAACATCTGAAATGACTTACATAGCTACACCTCCATTGGCCACTGCAAGGGCTTGGTCATCTCACTACAGGAAAACTGGTTCCAAAAGAGCATTTCTCCAAAGCAAAGAAGCAAAAAAAAATGAAGGCGGGGCTTCAGGGCTTCTGTCCTGACCCTGGGAGGCATGCATCAACTTTCCTGCTATGGCCAAGCAGGTCACTAAGAATAGCCCTAACTTTAGAGGAGTGGGATGCAGACTCCACTTGCTAGACAGGAGAGGTAGCAAACAAATCCAGCAGTTATTTCCTTCAACTGATATGCCTCATGTGGCACATACCCCACATTGCCTCAGGTGGAGAGTGTCTCCCTCCAGCCACAGTTTGACCACCCAGAAGGCAGTACTGAAGCTCACCCATCCCTGTATCCTTCATGGTGCTCAGCACGGTACCCCACTTCATGAGATTTCTGTAGTGAAGAGCCAGTTTCCATCCACCATAGAGTTCAAACAATTCCTATGCAAATGGATATATCTAGACAATAGGCAATTGTTGTGACAAAAAAGTGAGCTTAATTTTCCTCTTCAAGTCTTAATTGGTACTGTTGATATGATCCAGAGGCCTGCAACAATTGGAGCTGCGGGAGAGGCTAGCCCACTTGGAAATCACTTGCCCTGTGGTGAGAATAGCAAATGAAGACTGGAAATAAATGACAGTCATGTTGTTTAAAGGGCCTGGGCTCTTTCCTCAGTGCACTCAAGCAGCTTCTGAAAGCTGTATATACCAGGTCACCCCTCAATTCCTACAGCAGAGATTTGCTCTCTCTGTTCTCAGCTCCCTTCTTTTAGGTGGCAGGTACAAAGCCAAGCAAAATAAGGATTTTTAAATCCCTTAATGCTGTCTAAATGATTCTGTTAACACCTTTCTTAGTCTGAATGTTTGGGAATTCATGCTTTTCAAGGTTTAAAATCTCCTTCAATAAATAAATGTATGGGAGCTGAAGAGATGGCTTAGTGGTAAAGAGTGTTTCCCATTCTTTCAGAGGATCCATGTTCAGTTTCCAGCACTTTTGCCCAGTTTTTCTCTGAATCTTTTGCACTATCAAGCAAACCATATAACATATCTTTATGTGCATTTATTATTGTGGGGGGAAGAAAGGGGAGTAATTTACAAAGGAATAAGTACCCAGTGCCTAGCCCCGCACCTCTGGTGGGCGGCACGACTCAAAGCCCACCATATCAGACCGTGCCACCCCATAGTCACTGCTAGCATTCCCTCACACCTCAGGGGCAAGTGATCTTGCCCCAGGTCCAGAAGTGGTAGACCATTCTGTCCTTGAGCTGCTGAGCGACTGTACATTCCCCACACCATGCACTCTCCCCCCCCCCGCCCCATTTCCAGATAGCTCCCAGCAGCCCCTCAGTAGTCCACCTTCTGTGGCAGGCCCTGCCCTTTGGAGGAACTAGCCAATTGGGAGACACTCCACCCCTTTCCTCCACTCTTACAATCTTCCTGTTCGTCTTCCACTAAGGTCTCTGAGCCTTGGAGGGGGTGACAGATGTAGGGAAATCTCTCTTGTATCATGGCGAGATAATGGCTTCTTGGGCCTCCCCATTAGTCATCTTTAGGCCATGGCCACTGGTCTATCTCAGTGGTGTTTCTTCTACTATAAAGACAAATGGAAGGAAGTAGACACATTTAAACAAACATGAATGTAAATACAAATGCCTAGAAGATATCCCAGTAGGTATACTATACTCATTAAACAGTATACTTGTGATGGCTCTCCACTAGGGCCTGTAGCCTTTCTCAACACAAGGCATTGGCCTGGTCTACAGCACCAGATGTGTGTTCCGCCCCTAGGAGTGGGCCTTATCCAATTAGAAATTTGTCAGTTGTACGTATGTGTGTCAAGCCATTATTGCACTTGCAGGCATTGCTTGGCATGTCCATAGTGTGCAGCATGCAGGGTCCATTGTTGAGTAGAATCATAGGGGACCCTTTCTTCCCCAACCATCTGCATAGCACCTTCTGGCAATATGAACGTCATCCATCCAGTGACATGGAGTTTTTTGGCTTAGTCTTAGTTCCACCTCTTCTTCTCCTGCGCTCACAGCATGCAGTGTCTTCAGCAACGTGGCCTTTTGACCTTTCTAGTGTACAACTGACATTAGTGGCAATAGCCTTGGTGAATTGGAGGACCTCTAGGATCTCTTTCTGGCCAACAGCTCATAGGGGGGCAACCCACACCTGGTACTGTAGATTTTCTTAACAGTTGTATAGTTTGGGAGTCTCTGTCTTCATCTTACCCAACCATAAAACTCCCAAGAATCTTTCAGCTATAGTTGGCCTTTGCTTCTTCAGGTATTTTTCAAATGGGTTTCACACCTGTAAAACACTTGAAGGAAGGTTAACATATATTAAATGAATCATAGACAAGGTCTCACACAGCATGGAAAGGTTTTGTCCATTTGTATTAACTGTTTTCTCCATAGATCCTAGTTAGGTACCATAGCATGGGTACAAGGCATTAATTTGGTTAGCTCTTCACCATTTTTAATTATCCCTTTGGATTCTTTTATTCTTGAAACAGGTGTTGGCTCCAGTTGTCTGACCCTGCACTGAGCTAAGGAGGCAGGGGGTTTCTCCTGTCCCTGCTGCACTTGTTGGTTTCCTGAGTCAGGCAGGCTCTAGGTCTGCCTCCTGACCGTAGCCATATCTGTCACCTTCCCATTGACCACACCAGGTTGCTGGGGGAAAACTTGGTGGGAAAACCTGCTTCCACCCCAGTATAGCCTTTATCAGAAAAAAAAAAACACATCTTATTTAATCCTTGGGGATTCTTAACCACCCCTTGTACAGTTGTTATCCTTCAAATGTCCTTTGTAAACTGTTCTTCTGGTTTTAAAACCTTCCAGAAATGCCTTAATACCAAATTTGGTTTTCTACCAATTTTTTCTTTGGGCTCTACATAAGTCTTACCACATTTGTCTTCAAGTAACCCAAGTAACCCAAGTGGACCGTTTCCTCTGTCTGGTCTTTTTTATATCTCTTATAGGGTGTTCTGTTATTTTACAGACACATTTTACATGCTGGTCAGAATCATTTAGATTTGCCAAAGCCTCTCTCACTTTACAAAGATCCTGTCCCATCAAAGGGCTTAGTAAAACCATTAAAGCCCCATACCATTCTCGAGGTCCCAGTTGAATTAAGCTTTCTTTCATATCTCTGGTGAACACAGTCTTATCTAACCCAGTGAACTGGACATCATATAGTGCTTTTCTCATACCTAGTTCTCACAGTAATGCCTGCTGCTCCTTTATAGTCCTCCAGCCCCTGCTAATCATGTTAGTCTCCCTTGGTGATGACCATGTATCTTTAATGCCTTCAACCAACCATCCCATTAAGGACTGCTCCCCCCTGCACTGGCCTAGGTTGAACAGCCTATATCGCAAGGAAGGATGGGTGGTTATACGACTCAGCTGTGTACTTCTGAAGGACTTAGGCTGATGTCATTTGCTCCCATGTGTGCTCTCTGCTTGCTTTCCTGTAAGTTTTCCCTAGTTTTAATAGTTCTAGCAGGGAAAGCAGGGAATATTTCCTACCTACAGCAATTAGCTTTTTTTTTTCCTTTTTACTATTATCTGTCTTTTCCTCTGAGTCCTTGGACCTTACACAATTCAAAGTGTCCGCCTTTTTTTCTATCTCCAGCTCTGCACCTGGGTCTGCCACGCAGCCTTTTCAGCTTTCCCTGCCTGGGGCACATCTTGTATTATGCAAAGTGCTCTCTCTCTCTCTCTCTCTCTCTCTCTCTCTCTCTCTCTCCCCTCTCAGAGCTCCATTTGGGTCCCTAGCAGGTAAAAGATTTTCTAGCCTTTGGGTAACTTTTATCAAAACTTCAGATACCTGCAACACATCCCCACCCAGAGCAGGTAAAAGATTTTTTAGCCTTTGGGAAACCCTTAACAAATCTTCACATAATCCCTACATTTACAACATAGCTGTGGCCCGTGCTTTTGCGTGGCTGGCCTCCATTTAGTAACCCATTGTAAAAACCACATCTGCGCGTCATCAGTGCTCTTCCAAAACTCATTCTCAGTTTCGTCATATCCTGCTGGGCTACGCCAATTTTGTTGCCCAATTTTTCCCTGAGTCTTTAGCGCTATCAAGCAAACCATATAACATATCTTTACGTGCATTTATTATTGTAGGGGGAAGAGAGGAGTAATTTACAAAGGAATAAGTACCCAGTGCCTAGCCCCACACCTCCAGTGGCACAGCTCAGAGCCCACCATATCAGATCACACCACGCCCATAGTCACCCCTAGCATTCACTCACACCTCAGGGGCCAGCAATCTCACTCACCCCAGGTCCGTAAGTGTTAGGCCATTCTGCCCTTGAACTGCTGCACATGGCTGCACGTTTCCAATGCCACATGCTTCCCCCCAGCTTGTGGCTTCCATTTTCAGATGGCTCCCAGCAGCCCCTCAGTAGTCCACCTTCCGCGGCAGGCCATGCCCCTTGGAGGAGCTAGCCAATTGGGAGACAAGCACCCACAACAGGTGGTTCAGACAGACAGCCACCTGTAACTCCAGCTCTAGGGGGTCTGATGCCCTCTTCTAACATCTTTAGGCACACACACACACACACACACACACACACACACACACACCACAGATGTAAAAAAATGAAGTATAAGAAAAAAGTGTAAAGATACTCTAAAAATATCTCAGGCTGAGAGAAAAGGGGCTACAGGATGAAATGTCAAAGTCTGGGAGTTTTGTGGTTTGTAAGGAAATGAGAAAAAAAATATATTTGTGAGAGCTGGAGCAAGGGCATTTCCCACCAAACCCAGTCATAATTCCATTTCACTGAAATTCTTCAGGGCATTTTGCAATTTGGTATATTTTATTTTGGTACCAAACATATCTTTCCTGGGTTTTAATTTTTGTCTGCAACTTGCCAGTTTGTTAAAGAAAGCTCTGTGCCAGGGACATGGCTCAGTGATAGAGTGCTTAGCTAGCATGTGTGAGACTTAAGGTTCAACCTCTCCAAAAATCTATCCCATCTTCCATTATTGCTAGGCATGGTAGATAGAGCACACTGTAATCCCAGCACTTAGGAGAGACTGAGGCAGAAGAATCTTAAGTTTGAGGTCAGTTTGGGATACCTAGTAAGTTCAATACCCACCTGAACTATATTAATGAGATCCTGTCTCAAAAAGTTTGGGGCCAAGAATATAACTCAGAGCTAGAGCGCTTGCCTACATACACAGGTGCTGGCTTCTTTCCCCAAACCTTGAAGAAAGCAAGATAACTCAGAATGCAGTGCTCCTCTGTGTATCAACATAACCCTACTAGTTGTTCATCAACCAACCAAAACTACCAGGAGCTTTCCCAGTGTTCTACAACCATTATGTTCTTCCTCTCAGCCCTGCTAATCAGAGAGAATGGAGACCTAGCTTTTGACAACACATCCAGGCTGTTTTCCCCTCATATCCCATCCTGTTAGCAATGTGTGTGTCCATCCACCCATAGCATTCAAACAATTCCTGACAGGGAGGTAGGGGGAGACAGGAACAATTTCAGCAGTGTTTCTAGGAAGTAGAGATAGGCTTGCACCTTCCAGGCTGTTTTGATCTGCATAATCCCAGTTACCACCACCACCAAATCTTGATCCCAGAAATTGGGCATCTCTCACCCTTCCCCCCTCAGGCTGTGGATCTGGAAACTCCAGCCACATGCCGTGACCCTGATGGGATTTCCTTTCAGTCTCTACCTCAAGATCCTCTCACCAGCCCTGTAGCTTCCAAGCAGGCCCATGAGTTCAGGCTCTGCTCAGCTTCCCCACTCTGCTTGGGCCTTAAGAACTGTTCCTTTCATCTTGCTTAGAAGTTGTTGGAAATGCACAGGGGCTCCCATGCCTGATCCTTCAGTGCCACCATCCTACTGGCTTCCCAGTACTCTTGTAAATGTGGGTCATCTTTTTTTTTCTTTTTTAAAATTAACTATTTTCATTTTATGTGTATGTGTGTATTGCCTGCATGTAGGTAGGTGCACCATGTTGTGCCATGCCCACGGAAATCAGAAGAGGGCATCAGATCCCCTGAAACTGTAGTTACAGATAGTTGTTAGCAGCCGTGTGGGTGCTGGGAATCGAACCCGGGTCCTTTGCAAGAGCAGTCAGTGCTCTTAACTGCTAAACCATCTCTCCAAGCCCAAATGTGGGGCATTTTTGAGGATGGAGTCTGCTCTCAAAATTTACAGATAAGAAATAGGATGGAAGTCTCCCTAAAATCATTCTCGCAGACCAACAGGATGGCTCAGCAGGTAAAGACCTTGTCATACCTGAATTGTTGGTGTGAACAAAACTGATGCTGCCAGCTGGCAGGCTGGCCTTTGTTCTTCAGGGCTTCCTGTCTCTCACTGGGTGATGTGTTGTGACCATTGTGTAGAGTTCAGTATTGATGCATTTCTGAAAAATGGGTTAGGAGGCCTACAAAAGTCAAACTCACAGACCAACTTGGAGGTCAGTTCTAAGGTTCTCCACAGTATTGCCTCCCACATTGCTTTTTGCTCCTTAAATGTAGGGATGGGGAGGGAGAGGAGGAACAAGTATTTTCTAGATTTACAGGGAATGCATTAAACTGATTGTTCTCTCTTCCACAGTTGTTCAACACAACAATCGAAACTTCTGCAAAGGCAGATAATCTGCAGCTCCGCCTGACCATCCTCCTGCAGCAGACCCTCCTAACTGCTTACACCAATGTTTCCCGGGGGCTTTTTGAACAGCATAAGCTCATCTACAGCTTCATGCTCTGTGTTGAGATCATGCGCCAGCAAGGGCAGCTAACTGAAGCTGAGTGGAATTTCTTTCTCCGAGGTTCTGCAGGATTGGAAAAGGTACCTGTGATACATGGAGATGGTGAACGTTTCCCAGATATCAGCTCCTGTTTAGCTGCTTTCCTTGTCGTTGTGTCCAAATACCTGACAAGAAGCAACTTGAGGAAAAAAGGGATCACTTGGACTAAGTTCAGAGTACAGTCCATCATGGCAGGATGGCATGGTGGCAGGAGCAGGAAGCAGCTTGTCACATTGTGCCAATAGTGAAGAAGCAGAGAGTGGACAGGAAGTAGGCCTGTGCTATAAGATCTCAAGGCCTGCCCCTGGTGACCCACTTCCTCCAGCAAAGCTCTGCCTCCTAAAGCTTCCACAGTCTTCTCAAACATCAATACCTGCTGGAGACCAAATGTTCAAGTGCATGAGCCTATGGGGGGATGTCTCTCATTCAAACCAAAGCACATAGTCACCTACCAATCTTCACAGTGACTGTAGTGGCCAAAGATGATACATTTGGCTGTATGAGCCAACAGAGAGGGAGCTGCCAGGTCAGGAGGCCAGGTATAACTCAACAAGCTGTAGAAATTGGGTAACACTTTGCTTCTTATGAAGTACTGACCTAGGCTGCAGAAAAGGGCTGTCAGGAGTAGCTACTGAGCTAGTAAATGTAAATATATTTTGAAAAATTAACCATCTTGGGTGCCGGAGATCTAGCTTAGTGGTTAAGAGCATTTGCTGCTCTTCCAAAGGGCCCAAGTTCAGTTCCCAGCACCCACATCAAGTGACTCACAACTACCTGTAATGCCAGCTCCAAGGGATCTGACACCCTCTTCTGATCTCCATGGACACCCACACACATGTGGATACACACACACACACACACACACACACACACACACACATAATTAGAAGTAAAATAAATCTTAAGAAAAATTAACAATCTTACAAATGTGAGGAGTTTTCTCACATAGAGGCTCAGAGAAACTAAGCAACTTTCCAGAACACACTAATGATCTTCAAAGCACATTCTCATTCCAACCTAATGCTGTTCTTCCAGAGCAGCATATTTTCAAAAAAAGTTTAAAAGCTATCAAATTCAAAGCTCTACAAATACCCAAAAATCATCTTCAGAAACTTCTCAGAAGTTTTTAAAATTAAATTTATTTTCGTCTTTCATAAGAAAATTAACATTGGATTTTTTTTATGTTTGGGCCAGTGAGATGACTCAGCAGTCAAAGGGGCTTGCAACCAAGACTCACAACCTGAGTTCAATCTCCAAGCCTGCATAGTACAAGGAGAGAACAGAGTTCCAAAAATTTATTTCTGACCTCCACACCTGCACACCCACACGTGATAGAAATAAATAAATGTATTTTTTATTTAAAAAATACATTTGAATAAGACAAGAGAATTAAAGGAGTACTAATTGGAAAAGAAGAGATCAAATTATCCCTTTTTACAGATGATATGATACGATACCTAAGAGATCCCAAAAATTCCACCATAAAACTACTAGAACTGATTAACGCTTTCAGCAAAGTGGCAGGTTACAAAATTAATCTACAAAAATCGGTAGCCTTTCTATATACCAATAACACGAAATCAGAGAAAGAGTGCAGGGACTCACTCCCCTTCACAATAGCCTCAAAAAATAAAATAACTCTGAATAAACCTGACCAAAGACATCTCTACAATGAAAATTTTACATCTTTGAAGAAAGAGATTGAGGAAGACATCAGAAGATGGAAGGACCTCCCATGCTCATAGATTGGAAGAGTTGATATTGTGAAAATGACCATCCTACCAAAAGCAATATATACATTCAGTGCAGTGCCAATCAAAATCCCCATGACATACTTCACAGAATTAGGGAAAAAAAAAAAAAACCCTAAATTCATATGGAAGCGCAAAAGACCCAGGATAGCCAAAACAACCCTGAGCACAAAGAGCAATGCTGGGGGGATTACTATACCAGATCTCAAACTATACTACATAAAAAACAGTGTGATACTAGCACGAAAATAGACACATCTATCAATGGAACATAATTGAAGACCCAAACTTGTGTACACACAATTTCAGCCACCTGATCTTGAATAAGTTGCCAAGAACCTTTGGAGGAAACACAGCATCTTCAACAAATGGTGTTGGCAAAACTGGATCTCCACCTGTAGAAGAATGAAACTAGATCCTTATCTTTCACCTTGCACAAAAGTCAACCCCAAATGGATCAAAGACCTCAATGTGAAATTCGAAACTCTGAAACTGTTAAAACATTGGCAGTAACCTACAAGATATAGGTATAGGAAAGGACTTTCTAAATCAGACACCAGATGCTCAAGACTTAAAGTCAACAATCAACAAGTGGGACCTCATTAAACTCAAAAGCTCTGTACAGCAAAAGAAGCAACCAAGAAAGTGAAGAGAAAACCCACAGAGTGGGGAAAAATCTTCTCCAGTGACACATCTGACAGGGTTAACATCCAGAATATATAAAGAACTCAACAAAGAAGAAAACAAATGACACAATTAAAAGATGGGATAAAAATCTAAACAGAGTTCTCAAAAGAAGAAATAAAGGTGGCTAAGAAACATCCTAAAAAGTGTTCAGCATCGTTAGTAATTAAGGAAATGCAAATTAAAGCCACCTTAAGATTTCACCTTACCCCAGACTGGCCAAGATCAAGAGAACAAATGATACCAAATGCTGGTGAGAATGTGGAAGAAAGGGGAATGCTCATCCACTGCTGGTGGGATTGCAGACTTATATAACCCCTATGGAAAGCAGTGTGGAGAACTTTTAAAAAACTAAAATGAACCTATCATTTGATCCAGTTATACCATTCTTTGGCAATACCCAAGGGACTCATCCTATTGCAGAGACACTTGTACAACCATGTTTGTTGCTGCTCTTTTCACAATAGCTAAGAGATGGAAGCAACCTAAGTGCCCCTCAACTGATGAGTGGTTAATGAAATTTGCAGGTAAATGGATGAATCTAGAAACTGTTATACTAAGTGAAGTAACACAGACTCAGAAAAACAAAAGAAGTGTGTTCTCCCTCATTTGTAGATCCTAGCACTAAATCCTCAAAAGTAAGTATATATCCTGATGTAACTGCAGGAACCAGGAAAATGGAAGGGAACCAGGGAGGGAAAGGGAAAGAAGGAACTCGAGAGAGAAGAATAGGAGGAGACAGATGTCGCTAAAGGAGAAAAAGGGGCAAAACGGAGGCAGTTAAATGGGAGGGGAGAAGAAGAGCTATACAAGGAACTGTGGGAATAAAGGGGAGGAGGGAACTCAAGAGAGGTGGGACCAGACAGCAGAACTTATCAATGGAGAAATGGGGAAAATGGGGACAGTTTAAAAGGGGACAGTGGGGAGGGAAGATAAGACAGGGAGAGAAAGAAGAGAGATAAATAGTGCCTAGTTAGTATGAAAAAACAGAAGGAATCATATTAGCCCAAAAACCTACTGAAAAATTTCACATACAATATCTCTACATGAGTCCATTAGTACAGCTGTAGGCTACATAACAAGAAACAGTGCCAGACTGGAGAAACCTTCCTTTCAGGTGTTAGCCAGGGCACCCAAGAGACTCCCAAAACTGCATAAGCTATTGCCACATTCCTTGATCGCCTCCCAGAACTTGATGATAAGACCCTATTATTGACAGGAAAGACTTTGGACACAGGATTTGGAGCAACAGAGCTGGGACTGACCTGGAAGCCACCTCCCCTGAAGGCTCACTCTCATCACTTTGTAGAACACTGTGCAAGCTGGTAAGTGATAACATCAATCGATGGTCCAACCCCAGCTTCAAGACCTAAAAATCACATCAGTGACCAGCACAGCAAACAACATTGGTGCAGTAGTGGCACTTTTATCTTGGGGGCAATCAACAGCTCCCTAATTTGACTTAAAGCCCACTCAGTGAGAAGAAACTCATGTGTGGTACTGTAAACCTAGCCAAATAAACATAGCTGGAGAGGTCATAGATCTTAGAGAAAACCCCAAGGCTGTCACATCTCTAATGGAATTTCTTACTATGTGCAAAATATGGATCCTTAAATTTATAGACAAGTGTCCCATTCACCACCCATCAAAGAAGCTTCTTTTTTAACAGTCAGAGATTATTAGAGTTACACCACTGGTCACACACAGAGATTCTCTGTGAATTGCCCAAGCCTAAGTGGCACATCTAGGATACAACCTCTATACCTAAGACTCACAGAACATAGAACAAGGGATGAAGAGAACACTAATGCATCTTTCAATTCTCATCAATGAAGCTCCCTCATGCAACAGAGAGCCAGGAACACAAAAGGTCACAAATGACCAAAACGCAAAGAATAAACGTCTACGGAGTGTGGGTCCTTGCACAGGACTCCTATACTGAGGTCCACCCATCCAGGGCTCAGAGACTATTTCGGAAGAGGGGGCAGAAAGATTGTAAGAGCCAGGGAGGAGGTATATGATCATACAGAAATCGTCCTACAGGTTCCTGGGATTCTTCTCATACAAACCTACAGCAACAATGTCAGCATGCACAAGACCCATGCAAACTTAAGCAAACAAAAACCCAGCACAGAAATGTGGAAATGAACAGCAAGCCCCGATCTTAGTTGAAGAGTTATTGGCAGCTGATTACTGCTGGGTGAGGAAGAGGTGACCTTCTTTAATGGAGGGACTCCAGATAGGCTGACCAGACCTCAGTGGATGAACTTGCACTCTGGGATATCTGGGGACACTAACTTTACATGTTAGGCCTTAATACAAATGGTAGAATGTATGAACTCCTAGGGGGGGAGCTGCTATGGAAGGGTGCCAAAGGATATAAAGATGATTTGCTGTATGAAATACACAAAAATTCAATAAAATTTTTTAAAAATATATTTGGAGATGTATTTACATTGTTGTATATTAGTTGTATATTTTAACACTAGTAAAATTTCTATTTTTATCATAAGTGCTACGTGGGTTTTACTACATTCAGTTTCTTGGACTAATATAAATTATTTTCCATGTATGACACATTATCTGTAGAAAACTATACACTGAGC